TAGGGTTTAGGGCTTCGGTCTAGGGCTTAGTTAGGGCGTTTACGGGGAGTAGCCGACGGCTGGGCTCTCGAATTTGGGAGTGGGGGAGCCTTAGTCAGGAAGATCCTCATCACCTCATCACCGAGCTCCCGATCTCCGACATCCCCGGTAGTTTACGAGCAGCCAGCGAGCCATGGGAAAGGAAGCAGAGGTGAGTCGAGATCTTACCAAAAGCCCCCACACCGAAATTCTTGACCCTGAACCCTAAGCCCTCTGCGCATCAGCTGCCTTATCGAAGACATTTTCAGGCGGGCAGTTACCGTTGTAGAAAGTCTATATGCCTTATAGAAGCCTTATAGAAGCCCTACATACCCTAAACTCCCCACCTGTAGTTTCCTTTATCCTTACAAACCAGAGACCCACAAACTCTAGATCCGAACCCTGGTCGGCCTGGATCTTTTGGATCTCGTGGGACGTGCGGAAACCGTCGAAGGCGTGCACGAAGGGCACCTGCCGGGTAGGAGGTCCAAACCCTAAACCCTAAACCCAAACCCCTAAACCCTAAACCCAACCCCCAAACCCTAAACCCTAAACCCTAACACCCTAACACCCTAACACCCTAAACCCCAAACCCTAAACCCTAAACCCTAACCCCAAAACCCTAACCCCTACCAGCACCCCCCACTATATACCCTACATTCGACCCCTAAACACCTACTATTCAAGACCACCAAGGCTCTAGTAAAGGGTACTTGGGGGGTGCTGGTAAACCCTAAACTCTAACTTACTAACCCCTGCCCTAAACCCTAAACCCCAAACCCTAATCCCTACCCTAAAACCTAAACCATAACCCCTAACACCCTAAAACCTAAACCCTAACCCCTAAACCCTAACCCCTAAACCCTAAAACCCTGGCTCTTAAACAAGCTAAAGACCCTGGAGCCAAGGCTTCCTCTCAGGGTTCAGCTGTTTTCAAGGGCATTGACGGGGCTTAGCATCTTGGGGGGGGGATCCTACCTTGATTGGAATCAGATGTAATAAATATGATATAATTACAATATACCCTAAACTCCAAACCCCTACAACTATAATATAACTACAGTAAACCCTAAACCCCAAACCCCTAACCCTGATGAATGCAGTTGAAGCTACAGTGTTAAGGATGTAGGCTCAGGGTTGAAGGCTCTGGGGTCGTTCGAAGTCTCCGAAATACAATGTTCCCTATGCAGGAAAAACCTGCACCCGCCTCCCTGCCAGCTCCCAAATCCAAAACCTTAGTGGCTTAGCGCCCCCCCCCAAAAGCACTTAAGACCCTATACCCCGAACCTTCAAACCACGAAAATCCGAAACAAGGAAACTCTTAATACGGCCTGTAAGCACAGTGCTAAGAACCCGTACGGATTACCCTAGTCCTGAAGGCCGTTACCTCTAAACCCCCTACCTCAACCCAAAAAAACCAGCTTCTTAAGGACTTTGGGTTCTTTAGGGCGCCCGGTAGCCCCAAAACCCTAAGCCCTAAACCCTGAACCCTAAGCCCTAACCCCAAACCCTAAACCTTAAACCCGAAGCCCTAAACCCTGAACCCCAACCCCCAAATCCTAAGCCCTAAGCCCGAACCCCTAAAACCCTGAAACCCCCTAAGCATCCCTGCAGCGGTCGGCACCCTGGAGCGGAGCGTGGCAATGTGGGACACGAGAGCGAAGTCCAGAGCCTAACAAAGCTCGTTCTTGGGTTCCCAGATCCACCGGGAGTAATAAGGGGGGGTTCTTTAAAGGGATCTATAGGGATTATAGGGGGTTCAGAGGGGATTATAGGGCTTTGGGAGTAGATCCCTTAAGGGGGTTCCTCTAAAGTACCCTTTAGTAGTTAGGGTCCCAAATTAGGGGAGCTACGTCTCAGATCTCCCGGGGGTCTGGGTTTGGGGCTCACCTTAGGGCTTAGGGGTACGGAGGTTAGGGCTTAGGGGGGGTTTAGGAGTTTAGGGGTTTAGGGTTTATAAGAGTTATATAGTAAGAGCCTACGAAAAAGGTACCCAGAGAACCCAATACCCTTAATTAAGGAATATACCTTAAATCAAAATATCAAGGCCCCTATGATTTAAGGCCTATTCCTGAACTAAGGGGTCTTGGGTTCTCTGGGTAGGTTTCGGCCTTGGTTTCTTTTTTGAGTTTCGGACTTCGGGCTGGGGGTGTGGGGTTTAGGCTTTAGGTTTTGGGGTTCGCCTCAGGGGTTTCTCTATGCAAGCTATGGGTGCCTCTAAGGGTGCCGTAGTGGGTCTGTCTGTCTATCTGTCTGTCTGTCTATCTATCTATCTATCTATCTATATAGATAGATAGATAGATAGATAGGTAGATAGATAGAGAGGGAGAGATAGATAGATAGATAGATAGATAGATAGATAGAGAGACAGATAGATAGAGGTTGGCTGAGAATTCCTGCGTGTAGGGTTCGGGGTTGAGGTCTTCGGGTTGAGGGCTTCGGGTTTAGGATTTCCGGCGCTTGAGAGGCGCTTTAAAGTTCTGTATAAGGGCTCGTTAACCCCCCCCCCTCTGCAGCCGCCGATGACGGCGGAAGAGCACATGGTATTCTTTCTTTCTTTCTTCTATATATAGTGGTGCAAATCACGTAGGGGAGCGAAACGGGCCAACCTATATGAGTCCAATAGTACTGCAAAAGAATATGTGATGACAGCATAGCAGCAGCTGACAGAGCACACCGCGGACCTGCTGCACGGTGCTGCCGAAGAGGATGGCGAAGCCTGTGGACCTCAACAGCGTGCGTCCGCAGGCGCTCGACCTCCTATATCGGCCCTATATCCTGATAGCCTGAGTAATGAGAATAATAGCGACATGGGGAGTTTTGCTTCCAAAGGAGCTGTCAGTTTTCTAGTCAGCACCACAAGAAGGGGCCCCGAAATTGTGAGCTCCAATGCTCATGGTCTAAATGCTTTTATGTTTCCCGGGGGTCCATGTACCCAAATATATATAT